TTAGGGTGTTTTGATCTTCCTAGTATCATGTTTAGGGTAACAATTATAATTTCTATTATCAAACATGACAATTGTGTTTCCTGCGATGCTTCCTATTTTCTTTCCTAATATCATGTTAGTATCATGTTAGGGTTAAAGCTTTGATTTTTAATGTTTAGTGACATGCTAGGATTTGTTATTAATCTTGTTAGTATCATGCCTAAGATCTTGCTATTATTATGATTTAACATGTTTATGATGATTATTATATTTGTTGTAATTATTGTCATGATGATTTATTATATTGCTTGATGCTTATTTATTTTTATTGCTTGATCACGCTTTTTATGCATGTTTAAAGGGAATTTTTGCTTGTAATCACGCTTAATAAGATAATTAATAATCTTATTTAGGGCTAATTTGATTATAACTCAAGTGATCGCCAATAATAGATTTATTTGTGAATTAATATTCAACCAACATAGATAAACAGGTTTAGGGTTAATCCTACTGATTGCATGTTAGTCAGAAAGCGCACATGAATACGCTCAGAATAAAGTAGAGGCCTATTATTAGGGCAGGTTCAATCTCTTTTAGGTTGGATTTGTACCTTCATCCCCGAACTACCAGTCACGGTTCAAAACCTATTGGAGTTGACGATCTCTTGGATCGTTAAGGGGTGTAACCTTCACCCTGTGAACGGTTTACAAGTTCCTAAAACTTGTTGGCGACTCTTTTGCTCTATCTTCTTTCCCTTTGGACGCCACCGTATTTTAGTGTATGACCACAGTGGGGTTCAAGTTTGGGATAATTCTTGAAATATTCCCTACAATTATCATGCACAATATGGTTGTTGAAGATGAGCGAGATGGATATTTGCATTACGATGCATCCGAATTTATCAATGATCAACCGCAAAATGTAGTTAGGTCATCATCTGGTAACAACAACCAACCATTTACCGTGAGAAGTGGACAATTGGATAGGCTCAATTTAAGTGGTTATATGGCAAATAGAAATAATGTTTGTGATATGGAGACCCATATTGCATTAAAAATTGACTTGGTTGAGCATATGGGGATGTTTCGGCAACGAATGAATATATGAGCAAAGTCACGTTTTATGAAGATTGTATTTTATATTTATATGTATCTCTTTGTTTTATAAACTATGTAATTTAAATTTTATATTTCTATTGTAATTTTCATTTAAAAACTTAGAAAAAAAGCTTACATATTTAAGTGATTATTAAGATTGTATTGTAGTAAATATAATGCTCTAATTAAAATAATAAATCAATTAACAATGTCTTAGTTTTATTACATAATTATGTAAGTTCAATACAAATTCAAAGAAAGAATAGATGATGGGGTATTGATAAAAATTAGGAGAGAGAGTGGTGAGCAACCTTACCATTGTAGATTAATAATAGAGCTTGTTTAAAGGGAGTCCCGTTATGCAAGAACAAATTCATAACGAGGGCTAAGAGTGTAATTGCACGTAATGTATATTTTGATTTTAGAGTAGTACCATTGAGTGATCAGTAGTATCATTGGGTGATTAAATAGTACCATTGGGTATTTCAGTGGTTGTAGGGAATATTTCAAGCATTACCCCAAACTTGAACCACACTGTGATCATACACTTAAGCATGGTGGCGTCCAAAGGGAAGGAAGCTAGAGCAAAAGAGTCGCCAACAAGTTTTAGGAACTTAAGCATGGATCATTAACTCCAATAGGTCTGGAACCATGACTGGTAGTTCGGGGATGAAGGTACAAATTCAACCTAAAAGAGATTGAACTTGCCCTAAATAAAAGGCCTCTACTTTATTATTCTCGTATTCATGTGCGCTTTCTGACTAACATGCAATCATTAGGTTTACCCTAAACCTGTTTAGTCTATGTTGGTTGAATATTAATGCACAAATAAAACTATTATTGGCGATCACTTGAATTATAATCATATTAACTCTAAACAAGATCATTAATTATCTTATTAAGCGTGATTACAAGTGCAAATTCCCTTTAAACATGCATAAAAGGTGTGATCAAGCAATAACAATAAATATCAAGCAACATAATAATCATAATCATGATAACAAATTAACAACCATAATTAAAATAGTCATGTTAAAAATAAAGCATAATAATAGCAAGATCATATGCATGATACTAACAAGATTAATAACAAACTCTAGCATGTCACTAAGAAATAAAAATCAAAGTTTTAGCCCTAACATAATACTAACATGCTATTAAGAAAGAAAATAGGAAGCATTCTTTTAATCATACTTTATATTAGAAATATTAATCATTACCCTACACATGATACTAGGAAAAACAATAAAAACATCCTAGCATGATACTAGGAATCAAAATAACAATCTAAACATGATTTCTATATCAAAATAACAGTTAAACAAATAAAGCACTTACTTAGATGCCTCGTACCTCTTTCTAATAACAAAATACACACGTTAGTAACTTCAAAGAAAATAATAAATCACACAATTAAATTAAATAATTGAAATAAAGATTTAAGAAAGTTTAGACAAGATTTGGGACCAAACCCTCAAAAATCAAACCTTTCACGTCTAGGGCGAAGGCAACTTCGAATTATGCTAGGTGTGTCTAGATCTTGTGGATGCGGAATTTTGTTTGTAAAAAGTTGGTTTAGAATAAGAGAGAGAGAGCATCAAGAATTTCTTGATGAGATTTGGTGAGAATTAATGAAGAATTGATGATTAAAACGGAGGTCTAAGGACGTTATTTATAATGAAAACAGTCCGGATATGATAAAAAAGAATCGGAGTTTTAAGAAGAATAAAACACGACGCCAGCGCCGCAAATGCCTCTGTCGGGTCTGTTGTGCGGTGCTGCAAGCAATTTTCCACACGTTTTCATATTTTTGATCAAATTAAGCGAACGAGGGGTAAAATCGTAATTTCATTTAAAACACTTCTTTTATTCCAAATAAAACTCATAAAACTCAATTATCAATGCTAATCACATTAGGATTCAAAAGAACCTTCTAGAAGATTATAATCAATCTTAATTGCATTAGGAATGATAATTCATAATAGGCCCTCCTCTAGATCATTGGGCCGCATATAAGAATCAAACCGGACCTAGTTTAGTAATTTGGCCATAACTTCCTCATTATTCATCAGAATTGGGCTTATAATATATCGTTAGAAACCTCTTTTCGAGCCCGATCCAACTACACTATTATTGGACCCTTGCCATGGACTAAACTAAACTGGATTGGATAATAGGTTTTCGAAAACAGAGAGAAAGAAGAGAAATAAAACTAACCACAACACTAAACTTTCCACACTTTCACTTCATTCGATTATGATTCGACATGAAAGGTATTCATCACCGGGTTTGGTTTTGGGGAGACACAAATGGATGTCTACAGTGGTACTATGTATGCATTCAGTAGTACTAGTATGAATTTAGTGGTATTAACTAAGTGCATATATAGTATCATTAAATAACTAATGATATTATATAAACTTTCACTAGTATATTTAAAAGTGGTTCCACTTACCTTTCTCTCTCTTCCATGTACTTTTTAATATTTTTATATTTGTTATGCATTTGCAAATGCATAACAACACTGCATTAATATTTCCTCATAAAAAATAAGGTGACTCATAATATGAGGAATTTTAAAGGGAGGAATGTTAGGCATTTAGAAATGCATAACAAAGGGTATTCATGTAATTATGCATATGTACAAACTAATAAATATTCTGATATCATTGGATGATCAAATGGTACCATTGAATATACAGTGATACTATATGTGCACATAATGGTATTATATATGTATTCAGTTGTACTAAATTTATGCGTAAATAGTACCACCGAGGATTCAATGGTACTATATAAACTTTCAGTGGAACAATTAACAAGTGGTCCCCCATCACGTGATACAATCCGACCAAAAAATAGGTGTGGTCCACCTACATACCTCTCTCTTCCTATCTCTCTCCTCTTTTCTCTCTCTATCATGTGTTTTTATAATATTTTAATCAATGTTATGCATTAGTAAATGCATAACTTTCCTCCATTTCTAGTTCCTCCTCATAATATTAACTTTAAGATAGTGGAAAATGATGTGGAAGATGATTTGGAAGAGAGAAAGAAATAGATGAGATGAGTTGTAATGATTGTGAGTAAAGCATGGAGGAAGTATAAATCAAGGGTTGTGAGACAAATGAAAATGTCTCACAACTATTAAAATAGAATAAAAGTTTAAGGAAGAGAGAAAAAGGAGGAGTAAAAAAAGGTGTTGTGGGCCCCACTAAAACTTTTCAGACATGTATCACGTGTAAAAATGGACAAAAATTTTGAAGGATCACTACCACTGAGTTTATATTTTATTCCACTAAAACTCCAGTGGAGCTTTTTGAAGTACCATTGAGACTATATTTTGTACCACTGAAACTCCAGTGATATTATTACCTCAGTTACAGGTTATGTGCAACGATTAGACATTTTCCCTCTTTGTTTTATGTCAAATCGTTGCACATAACCTGTAACGGAGGTAGTATTTAATGACTCAATGAAAAAACTTTAAACTGACGCCTGAAATGCCTATATTACCCTTGTGAGACATGACTTATTACCTCTCAACCCTCCGTTTATATAACCTAGTAGAAAAAATGCTACTTGTAACTGGCGAAATTGACTTTTTCTAACTGGCATTGTTGGTTGCGATTGCCACCGTTACAAATAGTGAAAATTATTCGTAACCGGCTAATGTTGGTTACTAATAATATACTATTCGTAACTGACTTAACCTAACGCCGGTTACAAATAGTCTATTTTTCAAGTTAGAAATCATACTATTCGTAACTAACATTAAGTTACACTGGTTACAATTAGGGTATTATTTGTAACTTTTTTTTAAAAAAAAAAAATTACTATTAGTAACTAGCATTAGATTACGCTAGTTACTAATAAATTCTTTTATATATATAATTATTTGATTCGAATACAAGATTGGTAATGTATCCTACCAAATGACCCATCGTCAAATGTGTTATAACCTGCTACAATTCAACCAACAAAACACGAACTCCAAACACTTCCGCATAACTTGAATTCACCAACAACATACAATACAAGCACTCCAAATATTTCCATACAACTTGAATTCATCCACAATAGTAAAATACAACAAAATTAACTATGCTTGCAAGGCTGTTTGGATTGTCTCCAGACCACTGAATAACTAAGCAATTGTTGCTTAACTGATACCTGAAATATTTTGAAAAAAATACACAATATAGCTAGCTATCACCATAAGCATAAGCAATCAAATAGCTGCATGTAAGAGCCCCTAACAAGCATAGCAAAGAAACAAATGTAAAAAGATTTGACACATCAATTGATAAATTCTGCTGAGATACTGCAAGTATAATCTTATACACCTCGCTTATGTACTAGGTCATCTAATTATTAAAACACATGGTTATGTTAAAACTAAATAAAACTATAATATCTAAAATCTACCTAAAAATCCTAGAGAACATGAGAGTCCTTACTCTTCCTTAAAAATTAAACCACCTCAATTACTTTAAGGTATGGCAGATCGTGGAACATGACCCCTCTACTATGAAAAATAATACCAGATTCAACACTTATTGTTACCAACTTGCAGTCACAAAATTCAAACAAATAGATTTTTTTTTTTTTCCCACTGTCTTTCATTTCTGGTTTAATTGGCAAGACAGTCATACTAACATCAGGAAAAAGAAAAAGAAAAAAAAAAAACAGGTACCAGCAACCCGTTTTTATATCACAGCAAACCTTATCATATACAAAGTTTGATAAAAGGGAACAAGTATATATCAATAGTAGTATACTAACCTCTCCACAAAATATGAAGCAATAAAACCAGCAACATCATATGCAGGAGCAGGTTTATTTTCCAAGCTTTTCTTCCAATGAAGGTGCAATAGCCTATACTAAGATTGAATTACATAAAGATTGAATCGTACAGACATCAACAAAATAAAGCACCAAATATGATCCTCGAACAAAACATGTCCAATTATCAAATAAAAATGTTTAAGCTAATGTAACATATTGCATACATCTAAAGCCTTTTTAGACCATATTCTTGGATCATTATATGAAGCAACATTAATGGATACCCTTTCTGCAAGATTAATTAAGAGAGCAAAATAATTGCATAAATTAATTTAAAGCAGTAAATAGACAGCTAAGGGGTAACACAAATACTTACTGCATCCAAGGCACAGAATGAACACTCTCTCCAGCACGCAACTTTCTTGAAGGACCACATGGAATGAGTTTTCTCCAAAAGACACAATGCCGAAAAGTGTCCCGAAGTCTCATAAGTACGCCATCAATTTCTTAGTTATATAGAATTTAAACCATGTTTAGATAAGTATGTAGATAGATGAAACAACAGATGAGTGGAGATCAGTATGCTCCCTATATACAATTATTTTTCACCGGCATGTTCAGCAGATCTTGTAAAAAAAAAAAAAAAAAAAAGCATGTTCAATAGATATAGAATAATTGCAGCCTTTGCATGAAACATCTTGATCTCTCTGATATTAACTGACCTTGAACAGGAGCAAGTTCCTAAAGAAAGATTATGTCCTTTTCAAATAAAATTCACAAGTTGCAGCATTGACACCATATAAGAATTGATAATCTGCATACCTTAGAAAATTCTTCACGGTTACTGTTAATTTTATCAATCTTTACCTTCAACTTAGAGTTTTCATTCAAACCAATTTGAACTCAGAATTTAGATGAGGACAGAAACAAAAGATAAGCAGTTAAATTAAAGAAAAAAAAAATCATTAAAATGCTTCATTGATTTGATAAAGGAAATAAAATTAAGCTAATTTTACAAGCATTATAAAACAGAGATAGTAACACATTCTAAATTTGCTGTGGAGAATGCAAATTATCGCCTATGATAGTCCATGTATATAGCTTATTTCAATTAGGATTATGATGACACAATCACAGAGGTGGGTGCAAATTTATTTGCTTAATCAATTAAAATACTGGTTACAATTAAGAAAACATGAATTATTGAATATAATGTGTAGTCTATTCATGAATTGAATATAGCCTCGTCTTCCATGATCTATACACACAATATGCGCACAAAACAAAGCAAAAACCGCAGCACAACTTGGAACAAAATCGCACACAAACAGCAATAACTATTAACTCGAACTAAAACTGACACAGTTGCGGAAAACAGTCCAGTTTAATAGCAAAAGTGCTCGAAAAATTTTGAAATTTTGCAGGCAGAAAGTAGACAAATTTTCACCCAAATTCAAAAAAAGAATCACCTAAAAAGACCTTTAACGAAGGAGAACGAGCATTCTGAAGTTAATCGAGCAAACTGATCCTCCGAGAACAAGTGCGACTGATTAGTAACTTTAAGGGGTTATGAACACAATAAAATATCAAAATTTAAACGCTATGAACTAGTATTTTATGGCAATATTTGTTGCTTTATCTAATTATATATACTGTACATAAAATAGACAATATTATAACTATATATACACAATCAATAATAATATGTAGTACCAAGTACCTTACGTTGCATTGTTTGAGTTGCAGAATGCAGGGGAGGCAGCAGAAAGAGGGGGGCAGCAGTAATGGACTAATGGAGCAGCAGATCGAAAGTAGGGAGTAACACCACGGGAGCCGCAGAAGGGGGGCAGCAGCAAGGGAGTATACTAATGATTTGTATACACATCTCTTAGAAACCTAATCAACGTAGGAATCTAATTCCTATCTTAGGAAATATTTAGTAAATATTATCCTACCTAAAGATAACACAAATATAAACACAAATATATCAAATATATTACCTAAGATATTCTTCCTTATCTTAACAAAGTATTAATCTAATGGACTATATTAAATTAGATAAAAAACATTAATATATCAACTTAACCACCAAAATCCCAACTTATTCAAAAGAAAATTGATAAATCACTGAAATATCAACATAACCACCAAAATTAGATAAACAATTTCCAAAAGAAAAAAAAATTAGAAGTTCGAGTTTTTGATAATCTAACTGAGCAAGAACACAACCACAACACATGATATACACGGATTTAACCAAGAACACTCCAATGCAATTAAGAAATAACAAAATTCAGCCAACATTTATCAAAACTATATATTCAGAAACTGATCCAATTTAAACCTTGTAAGAGAATTCATAAAAGGAATCCAAATAAACCCTAATTACACAACAATTAATTGAACCCAATCCAGGCAAAACGAATTCAAACAACATAATTTCACTAATAAAAAGCATGAGGAAAAACCCTATACCTCAATCGAAAAAAAAAATAATCAGTTTTTAATGAGAAACAAACTTTAAATTGAATATTACTATTATTAATAGGAGCTCGTGAAAAATAATACCGTTAATTTTGAGATCTCAGCCCGTAAATTACAATGAAATTGAGTTTAGAAAATCGCTTTTGTTGTGGAAAACTCACCGGAATTTCATGTTGTGGTGAGAGTGCGAGACTGGTGAGTAGATAAGTAATTTGGGAAGAAAAGCAGAGCGTTTATTTTTGCTGGGGAACCAATTAAGGGTCTGTTCGGATTGACTGAACTCAACTGAACTGAACTTATTAATTAGTGATTTTTAACTACGGATTAGTGCTCTTTGATTATTTATTACTATACATATGTGTATATACAAATGTACATATTAAAATATTTACGAAAAATATACTATATAATTATAATTATAAAATGTATGGAAAATATATTAAAAACTTGAAACCTCTAAACATTTTAAACACATATACTATTTATTATTATTATTATTATTATTTATTGATGATTATTATTATTATTTATTGATTATTATTATTAGTATTAGTATTTCAATTATTATTGTTATTATTATTATTATTGTTGTTGTTGTTGTTAATAATAATAATAATAATAATAATACTATTATTATTATTATTATTATTATTATTATTATTATTATTATTGATGTTGTCGTTGTAATAAGAGCTTAAAAGAATGAAATTTGGCTTTATATCATTAGCAATATCATTAGACATAAATTAAGAGCTGAGCTGAACTGAACTGAATTTCAACGGAACAGAACAGGCCCTAAGTAGTGGGCTAATGGCCTAACGGGTGAATGACGATTTACATTATACTCCCTCCATCCCCTTTTGATAGTCCTTTATGGACCAATTTTAGTCCCAAAATGTTCACCTCATTTGCTTTTTCCAACAACCAATAATATTAAATTTTTACCAAAATTCCCTCCAATTTGCAACAATATTTGGGCAAATTTAACTTTTCTTTGTAAATTTTGTTTTCCCATAAAATTTTATTACTTTCTCTCTCTACTTTTTTGCATACCCAATGTCAATTTACCTTTTCAATGTACTTTAACTATTCTTATTTGTGTTTATTAATTCCCGTGAAAAATGCCCATAAGGGATTATCAAAAGGGGACGGAGGAAGTATTTTTTTTAATAAGTCGATCTTTTAATAACGGTTTTTATGTAAATAATTTACTCCGTAATAACAACACATATAATAGCGAAATTAACCGCTGTTATAGGGCAATTATCATATCTTTTTTAGCGGGATTAACAAAACCAGTGAAGTGTGAGTCGTGCGTGGTACTGTGCTAGCATTAGTAACTAATCTTAATAAAGCCTGTTACAATTAATAAGGTCAATGAAGTCCAACTTATTATTTGTAACTAGCCTTTTTTATGCCCCTTACTAATAGTTGATCAGCTTATTATTGACCTATTATTTGCAACTAACCTTGGTTATGCCCATTACTAATACTAATTTATTTGTAACCCTCACTATCTATGTCAGTTACTAATACACTTATTGTAACTAACATAATTTATGCCAGTTACTACTAGGGCGTTACAAATAGCATTTTTTCTATAGCTCACAACCATTACAACTCATCACATTTATTTCTCTCTCTTTCAAATCATCTTCCACCTCACTTTTCATTATCTTAAAGTTATTATTATGAGTCTCTTTATTTTTTTTTATCTACAATGGTAAGGTTACTCACCACTCTTTCTGTAAGTTACAATAATAACACTTGTCATCTTTTAATTGGTTAATAGCAAAATTAAAAAAAAAATTATGTCCATGTCAATTACTCGCTAGTAACTCAGCAGTGGGGTGTTCCCTTTACCATGAGTAACTTGTGTCTTGTGGGGTCACTTTCCAAAATAGTAAGGTAGTAACTCACAAAGAGGAGAGAGAGTATTGTGAGTTACTAGTTTACTACTAAGGGTCTGTTCTCATTGACTGAACTCAGCTGAAATGAGCTGAACTGAACTGAATTGAGCTGAACTAAATTGAACTGAACATTTTATAAGAGAAGGAAATTATGAGCTGAATTGAACTGAACTGAGAACTGAACTAAAATAAACTGAATTGTTAGGTTAGTGCTTCAAAGTTAGTTTTTAGATATTTAGTTTTTAATATTGTTATTTACTTAGTCAAAATTAGTAAGTTAGTATTGGTAGTAGTAGTGGCCTAAAATATTGGCAATATCAACAACAATCCCACATTCCCACGTAAGTAGGATTTGCATGCCAATTAGTTGCTTTTTATTTAGTTTGTCAGTTACCTTTGTAGCCTATAAAAAGGCATGACTCGATTAGAATTTGTTGAATGAGAAAGCATCAGTTCATTTTACAACGTCTTTCTTTTATTTTTGCTTTCTTATATCCAACATGAATTTCAAGAACTGACCCTAACTCACCCTAACCAAAATTATTTATTCAAACTTTATGACATTGTCCATTATCTAACTACTACCAGTCTCATTTAAATCCAAAAAAGCCAAGAACCCCAAACAAGAAAAACCCATCAAAATTGACAAACATCAAATGGCTGCCACCCTTGCATCATCATTTGTCAACATCTTCTCATCATTGAATTTCCCATCAAATTTACCCACTTTTTTTCAACCTTTTTCTTCTACTCCCTCTCTAAATTTCTCCGGCAAACTCCCCAAATTTGACTCTAAAACACCCAATTCAACCCAACTACGGCAGAAGCAGGCGACGGCTTCTGCGACGGCTGCAATCATGTTCCCGGAAAATCCATTATTGAGTGATGTTTGTGGGTTTCTTATAACAGCAGTTGTTGCTCGTACTACGCTTGGAATTTGGGAGTTGACTGCTAAATTCGACGTTTTTGACTCGGTAATGTTCCTACATTTGTTGTTTTCTTTTCTTCAGATTTTGCTTCTGTTAGTGAAATTTGAACAAGAACAAAATTTGTTGGGAAAATTGTTAGTTATCGTTTAAACATATGCTTGTTATAGTAATTTAGTTATCTTTTTTTTAGTAAAAAGGTTATGGAATTTGTACATGAATTACTTGTTTTGTTGAGAAAGTTTAATGTTTTTGAAGTGATGTGTACTAGAATGTATAATGAGAGTGCCTTTTATTGTTATTGATTTTAGTTGGTTAACTGAGTAATTATGACAGTTGGAGCTGAAATTTCTGCTTCATTATGACTTATGAATCATGATTGAAATATATTAATTATGATATTGATGAATTTGTTGTTGATTGATGATCAACTATGCAACAATGACTTCGCTTTTGTGATTTAATGTGGGAGAATTAGAAGAAAAAAAAAGTACATGTTTGAATTTGAGCAAGGTGATATTCTTTCTCAGCTCTTGCTAAATTTGGCGGTGTTTGCGTTTCGAGTTTTGATTAGGGATGCAGAAGCCAGAATGATATCTAAGGAAAAGGAGTTGAGTTTTGTATTTTGATATAGGAAGGGACAAAGTAGTGTATTTGAACTTTAATGTAGATTATTTGATTTCCTTTTGTGGGAAAGTCTTGGGGGTTTACAAATGTTTTGACCCTTATCGATGTTTTTGAACTATTCTCGTGTCTAATGATTACTCTGTCCAACTCTATGGTTGTAGAAATTAATGTCTAATCTATTATGTAAGGAAGGTTCTTTGTTTTTTGCAAGGTGTGTTTTTTAAGATCTGTCCTTTACTTGCCTTCGTCGTTCTATTGGAGATAAGCCACATATGTGGTTTCTGGGAGCTAATTGTCAAGAACGTGCCTACGAAGTTTGATGGGTGGAAAGGAGGGAAGAGGGGGGGGGGTATTCTTCTTTTCAATTATCTCATTGTATATTGCTTTCCGTTGTTACCAGAGAGAAAGGCTATGGCTTACACCAGGCTGATATTGTCAATTCCTATCTGGTCCTGCAATATTATAATGACTAATTTGGCAAGCTTGTTTTTAGGCACAGAACTAAGGTCTACAAAAGATTTCATCAATAGAAGATAACTGACCATATGCAAATCTCTTCTCCACCCCACCCTACATTTTATGTTATCTCCATCAAACATGGAATATTGTTATCTTTTCAATTGACAAATATATCAACTTTTAGGATTTTGTGACTGCTTGTCTAATTTCGTGCACATGAAGCATAAGCTAAAAGACCTGTAGAAAGCATGTTAATTGTTAAGATGGAACATACTCCAAAAACATTTTATTTTAATATGTCCATGAAATTACTCGAGATTCCTGAATAAGAAATTGCTAAATTGAAATAGAAGGCTTTGAGCCTGACTCCCAGAATTAGCATTTGAATCGGCCTCGTGTCTAGTGGGTATGTCAACAAGGTAGAGGGGCTTATAAGGGTGCTCTGAGGTAGGCGAAGAGAGGAGATATTATCTACTTAGATGGGAGTTTGTCCATAGTTCCATGGAAGAGGGAGGTTTGGGTTTTGGCGATTTGGTGGGCTAGATCATATCTTTGAAGGAAAAATAGTTGTGGCATTTCCAGTGAGATCCAAGCTCTCCATGACATAAAGAGTTTTGAAATGGGTATGGTTTTCAAGGGATGGATAGGGTTTTCTAATGGGGGCGCATGCTCCCTAAAGCCCTTGGAAAGTCATTTGATAGGTATCGTTCTTTTTATTTTTTTTAAAAAAAATCTTTTTTACCATTGTTATATACTTCCTTAGTTTTCTAAATATTGCACCTATAACTTTTTACAGAAGTTTCACATATATTGCTCAATTTCCCACTTCCTTAAGACTTGTGCTTCTCCTCATGGTGCAATATTAGGAGAATGCTAGAAGTATAATGTAGGTAATTTGGAGTGCTATGGGGAAACTCGTAAAAAGAAGCAGCCTTTTAGTATTTCTTGCTTCTGCATTTCTGCAGGTTCTTTATCTCTCATTATGCTCTATTATTCTTTCTTTTGGGAAGTGATTTAATCTTCTTAGAACCTTTATTTTAGGAAGGGTTCTCATGAGTGGATGCTAAGGAAGCTGATTAACCTCTCGAGCATCCTGAAATTAAAATCTTTCACATGTTTGCAAAAAGTTCTAAGTTGAAAAAATTAAATTCCAAAGAGGGTTAAAGCTTTTGTGTAGCTTGCTAGCTTGAAGGAATTAATTTCTTCAGAATCCTTGAGGCTCAAGAGTCAAGAAGTCCTAATCCCCTTGTGTGAAATGTGTAAACAGGATGACTGTGAATTGTGAATTACATGTTTGTCCATTGTGAGGAAGTGACTTTTATTGCCTTAAGCTTTTTAGATTGGTCAGATTCATTAGGTTGTTTGTTTACCATTTTGGATCATTTTCTTGTTTTATATAAGAGGCTTGGGTGGCGAAAGGGACACAAAGCTATGTTGTAGGTTGTGTTTTGGCCCGGGGCGGATGCAGCATACACCTAGGATATGCACTTGCATACCCTAAGTGGCTAAGTGTTTGTTAAAAAATTTCTACAGCCATTTAAAATTGAGTAAATATTTGTAGTGTGTTGGTTATTGTCATATTGTGTTCCTCATAGCTTGAATTCTTCTAGTTTTTTCTTTAACTCCCTCATTTGTTTTTTTTGTTTTTTTTTTTTAAAAATTTTATTTTTATACTAATCAATCGTATTTTGTCACTTACTATATTTTAAGCCCATTAATTATATTGTTTGGAGTCTTCAAAAAATAAATTTATATTGTTTTATAGTCTGATACAATTTCTTTATAAAAAATTGTTATACAATTACTATTATTGTGTTTAAATCAAATACTTGAATGCAATTATGAAGTGGCTAAACTCTGTTTCCTTAAATTTGTTTGTGAAAGAAATTTTATAAAAAAATAATAAAAAAAAAGTGTAAAGTCTCTACAAATAAAAATTAATTACAAATGAAAATTGAGAAAATTTTCTTATGATGATTCAATCGTACTTAGTTTTCCTACACTTGAAAAAGTAAAGCAATACCATCTTAAAAGGATGAGAATAAGATATATAGTAACCTATAGTTCAAGACAATATTTTAATTTTAATTTAATGCATATTATTGTTTACACGATTGTGCATACCCCATATGCAAATCCTGGATACGCCACTGGTTTTGGCTGATATGTGGTGCTTTGGTTGGAAAGTAATCAAGGAATCAAGGATATTTCGTGAGTGAGTGTCTTCTTCTGGACTTTCTTATGAAATTTTATGGTGCTTTTGGGTTCTCTTTGGGCACATGGTCATCGGGCTTTCCTTGGCACGTCTGTGTCTAATGTAATATATGATTTGACATTGGAGTTCTTTTCCTCTGTTTACTTAAATTTTGGTGTACTTTTGGTTCCCCTTTTTTGTAATGCCTCATTTTCTGGATGAAAATATTATCTTTTTTAATCTAAAATTACAGCTTTTACTTTTGTGCTTCTACCCTTTTGTTTGATCGACAAAGTAGTAGAAAATCAATGAAATAAATCTTTTACTAGGTTACAGCTGTGAATCCTGTGAACTGTGATGTCTATCTCTCTTTTCCCTTTTTCATTTTATCACCCCTGCATGCAAATTGCAAACGTCAAGTAGTGCCGGATAATGCTCTAGTGAAATTCTGTTTTTTACCTGCTAATCTACTTTTGAGGTCATGAGCATTATTGATGTTAGCATTGCAAAGCACTAATCCTATATTCCTATTTTTATAAAACCGCAATCGCTAGTCAGAGTAAAATGTTAAATGTTTGTTGCCGCTTTTCTTATGACAACTATATAAATTTATCTTTTTTCTCTACTGCAGTATTGCTTATCTATGTTCTCTTATTAGAAACTGAACAGGAAGCTTGTGCATATCAGTATTGGGCTAGTTTTCATGCTTTGCTGGCCACTATTCAGGTAGTTTTATGGTATTTTAATTGCTATTGCTATCTTCCAGCAGTATGTGATGAGTAGTTGTTCATTAAATGCTACAGCTTTGGGTATCGTGGTGCATTATTCGCTTGTCTTGTTCCTGGAGTCAATATCATTCGCGTGCTTCTTATTGGACTTGGGATCTACAAAGATGAAGCCACTGTCAAGTCAATGAGCAGATTTGGAGACTACAGGTGACAATATTTAAGATAAATTTCATGTGTCTAGGCTAAATTTTGATTGACTTAACATTATATTAAGCTATACCCCCTTTGCCTTTTATGAATGTAATACCAGAAACGCTCTCTGCCTCCAATTTAATTGATTCTTCTTTGTTGTCCTACCTCAACTTCATGCATCTAAAGGGGATTTGCTTAATTATCTGTTTTTATATTATAAAGGTTCTTCACCTCTATTTGGAGCTGTGCTGCCTTGTCGTTTAGATAATTGTGTTTTCCCTAATCAACTTATTCTAGCTCAGAATTTTCATATTCTTAGATAATTGGGTTCCGATTTCTATAAACTCCCAAGATACTACATAGATGGACTAGCTGCTGTCAAACTTGGTCATTCACTTTTGGTTTCTGTCTGTCATTTGTCAGCTTCTTATTTTTTTTTCTTGGCTTCTTCATGCATCAGGGAGCTTCTCAAGGGACCTCTTTACTATGCATCCGCCATCACTTTTGCTTGTTTCTATTTTTGGAGGACTTCCCCAATCGGGATTGCAGCAATTTGTAACCTATGTGCTGGAGATGGTTAGTCACACAGTTTTTTTTTTTTTTTTTTTTTTTTTCTTGAGTAGATTAAGTATGCAATTCATTCTTAGGAAGACTTCTGGACAAGCTCTGACATTATAATGAAGGAAAGTGTTGAAGGTGAGGATGATAAGGAGAAATAAAAGAGAGAGCACGCTATGGAGATATATAGTGAACTGCAGATTAATCAAGCAGCAAAGGCATGATAATCTCTAGATTTTGGAAATACTTCACAATGGCTTGATCTCTGCTTCTTATTATTCTTAGCTTCATTCCTATCTTAGAATAAAGATAACTAAGTGACAGTGTGACACTATATATATAAAATGGCTTGATTATATTTTTGAAGAAATAAAGAATATTATAATGGATGTTTTCCATGTCAGCCGAAGAGTTTTGGGATTCCGAAGTTCATTTGTTGATCATTTGCAAAAATCGATAAAGGTCCTATATTCCATCATTCCTAAGATATTGTCCACCTTGCTTATCTTTCTCTTACGTATCCATTATCAACTTATTGTAGGGATCATCTTAATTTGGTTATCATCCCTTTACCCTTGTGTTACTCATCTCTCTCATTGGGCTTTTAGAAGCTTGAGGTGTTTCTAATATTTTGGAGAAAATTGCTAGAAACCTCCTTTTGTATGCAATGGGGAAGATTTTAAAGACCATATTGTGGGATATTTACGGTCTGTAGACCTTGAGAATTAGGCTTGAGTATTTAAAAAAGGTGTTAATAATCATTCTATCAGTGAGTAAATTGGTGCCAGCAAATATCTCTTAAACTTGATTACCTTGGGTGAACAATTTTTTTTCTACAAGAAATAGCTAATGAATGTCAAATCAGGCAATCAAAAGAGCACTCTCTGATACAAGATGATGCTAGTCTAACGAATGTGTGGGTGATATGCCACCATCCTATGGTGTTTTCATTTGTGCTATAATAGGGAGGCAAGGAACTTGTGTACTTTGACTCTTTATACTGCATATAAGGGCCCCTATGAAATCTCTTGGAGAAATTTTGAATTTTCTTTGAATTAATTTTATCAGACCTCATTAAGCAAATAAGGAAATGACAACAGTAACGATGAATAGTGGATTTTCATGCCAAGAATAAGAAAATTGCATTTGTGAGTTTGATGTTTTCAGCTTTAATATTATTTCTTAGAGAAATTGGAAAACACAAATCAATGCTCCCTCCGTCCCTTAATACAATGCCTCTTTCGAGCATTTATTACTCACATAATAAAGAGGAGGCATTGTATTAAGGGACGGAGGGAATAGGAAATAGTCTTCTAACTCAGGCATGGTAGTCCACACAACTTCCATGAACTTACTATATATATATATATATATATATATATATATATATATATATATAGGGGAAGGCTCTCGTGAGCATTTTTCTTATATGAGAATTTTTCTTATGTGAGAACACTCTTTATGTTTTAAATTTTAAATATGATGTTCTAAACTTTTTTTTGGGTGTTCTAAATTAAATCAAATGTTCTAATTTATTACTCACATGTTCTAAACCATAAATTAGTTAAGCTTGATGTCATAAATTTTAAATAACTTGTTCCAAACTTTTAACTTTTATGTTCTAAATTTTAAAACGTGTGTTCTAAGATTTTTAATTATATGTTCCAGATTTTCTAAGATTTTTTAATTATATTTTCCAGATTTTAAAGCGTATGTTCTATTTTTTTTACTCGTATGTTCTAAATTCTTTCCTCACACTTTCTATATTCAATATCAGTTTGTTCTAAATTTTTATTCACATGTTCATAATCTTAAATCAAGTGTTCTAAATGTTACTCATATGTTTAAAATTTCATAAAGCAAATTTTATAAATTTTTAATCACTTGTTCTAATTCTTAAATAAGATGTTCTAACATATTACTCACACAAATGTTCTAAATTATTACTCATATGTTCAAAATTTTAATTTGAGTCACATGTTCTAAATTTTAACTCGTATGTTCTAAATTTTTACCCACATGTTCTAAATTTTAAATCAGTTCTCATATAAGTATGAATTTTCACATATGGACCTATTCTCACCGGATTCCTCCCCTATATATATATATATATATATATATTATCCGACTCATCTTTCAACCTTTTCCATCAATAACGATAAATGATGTTGCTAATTTATTTATGACCTTGACGGTGTTTGAATAGTAATGATGGAATGAAAGTGATTTGGAGGAAAGAGTGGGTAGGTGAGGAAGAAATTTGCTAGTATTTTTGCTCCATAGTTTTCCAACTTTGTAAAGATTTAGTCATCAAAAGGGCAAAGGAAATTTGATCCGTCCATTTACCTCTCCTCTTAATTATATCCTATTAAAGAAAAATGGGTCTATTGCTTTTCTTTTTCTCTTCTTTGCTCTTCAAATCCTCATAATTAATGTGGAGCCATTATCTTCATTTTGAATTTTTAAAGAAAAATATATCACTCTGCAACGTAAACTGAGATTTCAGGTGTCTTTCCTCTTGTAATTTTTCAGGTTTGGCTGACATTGTGGGGAGAAGATTTGGAAAGGATAAACTTCCTTACAATGAAAACAAGTCCTATGCTGGCACCATTGCTATGGCAATTGCTGGATTTGTGGCCTCAGTCGGGTAAATTGCTGTCTACTCTCAAATATTATTCTTTTCTGTGTAGGTGGTTATTGAGCGTGATATGTAACAGGTACATGCATTATTTTTCCTTGTTTGGGTTCGTGCAAGAAAGTTGGGATATGGTGCTTCAATTCTTGGTTGTGTCCCTTATTAGTGCACTTGTGGAGTCACTCCCCATAAGCACACAACTTGATGATAATCTCACAGTTCCACTCGCTTCATTTTTGGCTGGCAGCCTTCTCTTTTGACGTCATAAGCATTCTTTGTATGTGAGTGCAGTTATTGACTTGCTTGCATCGGATCTTAGTATTGTGTATCCTTTTGTTCTTTATTGAATTGCTTGCTTTTAGTACACTGAAATTCCACGATTGATTTGTAGTTTTGTACTATATTAGTGTTGTAGCCAAGAAATAATACAGGGGGGCAAACGCAAAACCTGCTATTTAGGATATGTATGTGTATCTATTAGAGGAATATGTATTCTAGATGTAACATTTCATGTAATAAATTTGCCAAGAAGTTGTTCTTCAATTGAGTTAATGTCTTCATTGATTCTCCTGTTCTTATTATTTTTTTCATTTGGAAAATTATGAAACATTGGGATGACACTCAGATTTGCTGGATTGAATAGAGTACTCATAACCTTAAGAAACGCACCTTATGCTCATGAGGTTTCCAAAAATGCACCATTTGCTCCCGTGATTTCAAGAATTGCACCACGTACACCTTATAAAGCTTTGAGTAATTGAACTTACTATATTCATTATAAAAGATCCATTAACCTCTCCCTCTCAGTAAAATTCTTGGCTTTTTACCGAGTACTGAGATATGGATTCAAGTAGTTAAGCTCAATGATGTGAGTGACCGAGTGTTTTTTAGTTAATGCTACCTAGACTTGAATAACTGTATCAATGAAGGTGAAAAACATATACTAGTATATGCTCCTCGTCCTTCCTTTGGCTGAACGAACCTGTGACAGTGCGACGAGAGAGTTTCTTGTATTTGCTGCTATTTGAGTGAGGGAGATAAACTAAGTAATCAATAGTCGAATAAATTCGACAATAAGTATCAAGTACAAACTAAAGCTCTAGCTTTTAAATGAAAAAATCTATCACCCCATTATACCAAAAAAAAAAAAAAAAAGTGTTTACAGTCTGTTGATACAACCTTTTTCCTGGGGTTCTAAGTCTTCTAACAATCTCGAAGGAGACTTATCTATGGTTTCTTAGAGAGTTTTGTACCCGTTGTAAAGACATAAGAGACCATTCACCAAAAATTTCCTGCTGGTGTAGTTTCTTTCACTTAACTGTACTGATTTATATGCCAGTGTGAATCCACTTTACTTCCAAGACAGTGGCAAGGGCAAGGCACAACATCTTGTAATCTTGACTCATGATGTCCCCTTCGCCGTTTAAAAATGTGCTTCCTACAATGAACGACGACAAGCAAGAACAGGAAGAGCAAGATGATGCTAACAACGCTAAGCAACATCCGCTTTCCATGCTGACCATAGTGCCTGTCGCGCAGGAAGTACTGATTTTGTAGGTATATTAGTGCTGGAGCTGGAGCTGCAGCTGGAGCTACTGATGTGGAGATAGTCATTCTCTATGAACTGTACCTTACAGTTATATTAGAATTATGTTAGAGATAAGAGATATTGGAAAAGGAAAATATATTATGAGATGTCGGAAAATATGTGTGATATATTTTCCATATTAATAACTCTAACAAATTAGCTCTGCATATTTTATTATGAATGCAAGAATGTGTAAATGTGAATGACTCTCATATTCATAAGATAGAGTTTGCAGCAATAATTTGTTTTGTATGTGCGCGTGTTTATACAGAGAAGGGGACTAAACTAATGCTAGTATGCTACTGTCTTTGGTGGCTGCAGTTATTCACGTCCAATGAGAAAAAAGAGTCGTAATTTAAGCTAAGGTCTTATCGTCTTCACCTTATTTATAAAGTACCATTATTCATTAATACGCAGTAATAATTTAATTTTGGTAGGCAAAATAAGAATTCATCAAAAATAAGTTTTTTCCTCTTCATTTCAAAATCAACGCTCTACTTTGACATTTTGTACAATTTACATAATTCACTTTGACAAATTAGTGATTTATATGAAAAAAATTACTGTCATTTAATAATACTTGTATATATTGTTTCACATTTTTTTAATATCAACTTTTTATAATTTACTAGATGAAGCCTGTGCGATGCACGGTTTGTTAGTATTTTCTTAAAATATATTTTTCATATTTATGTGATTAAAATTGTTATTATATTAGTTTTAAAATATTAGATAAAATTCCTAATCTCAAAAGATAATATTTTAATTTGTATTTAATTAATTTAAACTTTAAAATCTCATTCGTCAATTTTGCTTACGTGGCATTTGAATTATTTAATTGTAAAAGAAATTAATAATCTCTTATTTAATTGGTTAGAACTTAAATTTACAATCCTACGTGGCGAGCTAAGAAAATTAAATCCTACGTGGCTCTCTAAAAACTCGGGGAAAAACTCCCCTTTATATATATATATATATTAGATTAGATTAGATTATTAATGATAGTTAAAGATATTATTGGTTAATGTTCTGTATTGATATATATGCCTAGTTAAAATGGACATTTACTTTGAAAAAAGGAAGTAACCAATTAAAATCAGTAAACTTAAACAACAACTATAATAACAAATCAATAAAAATAACTTTTAACCCGTAAATTATTGTTATTTTTAATTTCAATTCAGCACACCCAGTTTACATAAATCCTACCTGCCAATTATAGAATAACTTCATTTATTTTATACTACTTCGTATTAAGATAATTGTTGATCATTTTTTAGGTAATTTATCTACATACATTTTGCAATATTTATCATAAACCCAAGTTTTTTTTTAATAGAAAAGTTTATCTTGTTTCTAGCACTGCAAATCATTACGGATTTACTCTGTATTTTTAAAAAATGATAGATATTATAATTATGATAATATTTATTGTAGATTAGAATAATATTTATATATATCTTGTATCCCTATCATTGTAGGATTTTTTTAGACGTCGGCATAATTGTGTTGTAGTGGACATTTTGTTTTATACCCTTGGATGTCCAGCAGAAACAACAAAACTACTCCATAATTTTCCTGTCCAATTTATTTATTTTTTTTATTTTAATTTTTTTTTTAAATGTTGGATTGTCTTTATGCTTATGTATGGCCTCCATAATTTTGTACACAAAGTATTTGATGAGTTTATTTCACTGCGAGTCCACCCACTTAAATATTGATAATAACTTGTTTTGACAGGTTTTACCACTGCCGTTCATGGATTTCGCCCAACAATCACGCCTCCATCAAGTGTAAAAGCCACATTTTACCAGTGTTTATTTTCTTTAAGTTTAGTTTGTATGAGTTAGAGTTTAGTGTATGTGTGGTGTTTTATTTTCTTTAAGTTTAGTTTGTATGAGTTAGAGTTTAGTGTATGTGTGGTGTTTTATTTTCTTAGCGTAGGTTGTAATCTTGTTTTTTAATTAATAGATCTCTTTGTAAAAAAAAAAAAAAAAAAAAAAAAAAAAACTTATAATCAATGAAAATATAAAAACTTATATGAAATGTCTTAAGACTTACAGTCCTATACCCATCTATACCTTCTCAATTTTGTAAAATTGTCGTAATGTAAGCCCAACCTCGCCTAAATGCTAAATCATGCCATCAAAGGCCGGAAAATCTATGTATGATTTTTTTTTTTTAAAAAAAATATTTTATTTATTTTATTAGCTTAAAGACATTAATTCATTACTTACAAGTTGCAACACACCAGGTAACTCATCTCAAACTAGGGGCTCAGTTTCAACCCTTCTAGTTAAGTGTAAACTAGCTCACTCCTAGCAATAGATTAAAGGTCAGGTGTGAAGCAACTTTACAATCCGATATATTCTCGTACCAATGCAAGTCACCCTTTTTTTTTTTGGTGTTTAAAGAGCCACAAGGGCGGGGTTGAAAATTGATCTCAGAATCTCTTGAAACCGGGAGGGAAACTCTAACCGCTTGAGCTATCCCTAACTCTGTTACCAATGCAAGTTAGTTAGTTTTTTTTTTTTTAATTTTTTTTTTACAATAGCAAAGCAATGCAAGTTACCGAACCTTAAAAATTTAATACTTGCATCACTTACCAAACTAAAATTGCTAAGGGTACTGCAAAGTGTTCATGAATACTCTCTTTGTTTTAATATTTGCATCACTTTTCAAATCTCTTAGTTTTAGTTCACTTTCTTTGGACTTTATTACTTATTTTAGATTAGATTATAAAAAAATAATCTTTAAATACACTTTATAATTTTACGCTAAATATCATTATTTTTGTAATAATGAAAAAGTTATGAAAATTATATAGTAACAAAATAAAAATTATGCACGAAGACAAATAATGCTAATATTAAAGAAGGAGGTAGAATTAAACTACTACTCTGAGTACTCTCTCCGTCCTTAAGAGAATGATCCTTTTGGCCAAATTTTATTCCTAAAATGTTCATCCCAAATATAATAAAATAACCTCCCGTTTATAATTTATAATAATATTTGTTTAAAATTAGCTTTCTAATGTAAGTTTTGCCTTTTCATGTACTTTTATTACGTTCCGTCTCTACTTTTTCTGCAAAGCCTATATAAATATATTGTTTTTTAGGCATATAAATTTACCTTTTCAATTTACTTTTATTAACTTTCTCATATATTTGTATTTTCCATTTAAGTTTCTTAATATCCATGAAAATTTTCCAAAAGAGTCGTTCTTTTAAAGACGGAGGAGTAGTTTTAATGAAATTTAAAAAGCATTCTCAAAGTACACACCAATGCACACCAATGCACTATGTTAATTACCATAAAAAAAAAATGGACGGAAAATGTATGGGAAAAAAAATATATTATTGCCACAACCAGATATAAAAACTTGTGATGATAATATATTTGGTTTCTTTCTAACTTCTAAAATGGTGGGGATATAGTAGGAAAAATTTGAGCTTGGACCATAAAATGTCAATCATTTTTCAATATATACTTGTGCATATAAATTTAAATCAAATATTTATGCATTCCAAAGATTGATGGGAATTTGACTACTTTATGAATTTGAAGGGCTAGCCATCAATTGGGACTAAACTATATATCAACCAATCAATATATAGGTTTACAATAATATTATTGTACATCGAATATTTTGCACGTGTGAACAGTAATATTACAGAGTTTTTTTTTTTTTTAGTGTTCCGTATATTCACAAAAGTGACCTTTTTTTTTTACTTGTAGACACCCATTTGTGTCTCCCCAAAACCAAACCCAGTGATGAGTATCTTTCACGTTGAATCATAATTGAATGAAGTGAAAGTGTGGAAAGTTTAGTGTTGCGGAAAGTTTTAATTTCTTTTCTCTTCTCTCTGTTTTTGAAAACCTATTTTAAGAAAAACAGCCAATCCAGTTTGGTTAGTCTATGACATGGGTCCAATAATGGTTTAGTTGGATGGGGCTTGAAAAGAGCTTTCCAACG